GGGCTTTCCTGCTCCTGGATCAGGCCCAGCTTGGGGCTGCCCTCAGGCCGGGCTTTCCTGCTCCCGGATCAGGCTCAGCTGGGGGCTGCCTACAGGCCGCACTTTTCTATTTACTGATGGCCGGATCACCACAGCGACCCAGGGCCCAGTGGCACTTTCCTGATCTCCAATAGTCATAGGGTCCAGGCTGGGGGTGGCGCTTAGGCGGCACGGGAGTCCCAGCTGGGTGCTCAGGTGGCACATAGGGGTCCCGGCTGGGGGCGGGGCTTATGCCCCACTGCCAAGGGCTGCACATGGGGCCCGGATGGCAGCTCGAGCTGTCCCGCTCTGCCTGTAGTACAGGATAGAGGCCTGATGCATGGGTGGGGGCCTGCTGGTTTGCCCTGAAGGGTGTCCCGGATCAGGGTGGGGGTCCCACTTGGGTGCCTGGCCAGCCTGGATGACAGGCTGATGGCTGTTTTTAGGCTGCCCGCACCCTCTTTAGGGTGAGGGTCCCCACTGGGGAGCCTGGCCAGTCTGGATGAGGGGCTGAGGGCCGTTTTCAGGCTGGCGGGTGACTGAAGCTCCCAGCCTCTCCTTTTTTTCTTTTTTTTTTATTCTGGGATTTATTTACTTTCTATGGCTGTCACTGGAGCTGAGAGCTGGCTTTAGCTCTGAGGCCAGCTCCAGCTTGAGGCCTCGGTTGCTGAAAGCAGATATCTGGGCTTTGTTTAGCTTCTATAATTGAAACTCTGTTGCCATCACTGCCGCTCTAAGCTCTGAGCCTGCTGCCAGCTGAAAGCAGGTTTCTGGAGCTTGTTTAGCTTCTATAATTGCAACATTGTTGCAACTGGAGCTCAGAGCTGGGCGGCGGCAGGCGGAGAACCTTGGCTTCCTCCATCACTGGAGCAAGCAAGCCTCCTGTTCGCTTCAGCTGCCTGGCTGCCAGCCGCCATCTTGGTTGGCAGTTAATTTGCATATCCTGCTGATTAGCCAATGGGAAGCATTCGGGGGTATGGTCAATTTGCATGTTTCTCTTTATTAGATAGGATATCCTTTCTATTTATGCCTTTTTTACATATGTATGTGTCCATTCATAAATAGAATAATGTTATATGTTATAGAATGTGATTTGTGTTATTAAGCACATGATATTATTCTAAGGTATTGCTTTGCTAGTTTTTACACCTTCATCATCAGTGAATAGATTCCTATTATTCCTACATTATTCTTGGTGTCTTCAGACTTTATTTTTTTTGGTGCCAAGTGGGGTCTCTTTCATTTATATCAATTTACATTTTCCTGAGTCCTAGTGACGTTGAGCATCTGGTTGTGTTTATGGCCCATTGGGCTTATTCTTCTGACAGTTCTCTATGTGTTGGCCCAGTCTTTCCCCTGGATCAGCCACTGGATTTACAGGTGTCGGCACGAATAAACCAGTCATGAATGTAAGCATGGCGATGCCAAAGCATTACCAAGGCAGTCATCCACGTCTTGTATTGAACAGCTACCGGGTAGCTGATTTATCTCTTGGAAACATATTCCTCAGTTTTGCCTCCTCTCCTGCAACTGTGAGCCACAAACCGCACGGGCAGCCTGGCCCTGCACCTGCTGCCTCAGGCCTGAGCAGTTCCACACCAAGAGACTGCTCCTTGCAGAAGGAGACAGAAGCAAATGCCCCGCTGGCACCACTGGCTCCTCTAGGTGGCCCGCGGCTGTCCTTCCCACAGGCCTGGCCCCTCGCCCGTCGGTCCCCAAGGGCAGACCGGCTTTCTCTGCCCCAAGGACTCCTTGGATCACCTGTGGCATCTCGTTCATTCAAGCCTAGTCTGTCGTTACTCACGTCTTCCTCGTTTACTCATTCGTTTCTTTGTTCATTCTCACACAAATATCTGCTGAAAATCTAGTATGTGTCAGGCACTGGGCTTGGTGCTGTGGATGTGAAAACAGTACCTGCACATTTCCTCTGGCTTCCCAGCACTTAGCATTCTGTGGGGCAGGAGGGAAGGAACAGGCTATGACAATACAATGTGAGGAGTGGGGAAAAGTGGGCACAAAGCCTAGACCTGGGTATCCCGAGCCCAAAGCGAGAACTGGGATGGGAGCCAATTAGCCAATGGAGGCGGGAAAGATGGTGTTCTGGCAGAGGGAGCGCGCAGGCAGTGTGGGGAGACCTTGCGGCCCAGGAAGAGCCAGGAGCAGTACAGGCAAGTGCGTGCAAACAAGACTGGCAAACACTGTCCCAGGGAGCACGGACTCCATCTGAGGAACAGCAGGGAACCATGGAGGGCTCTGGGCATAAGAGGGTCGGGAACAGATTTTATTGCACATAGGTTACTGTGCACTGTGTAGAAAATGGGCTTGTGGGTGGGAGAATGGAGACGGGAGAAGAATTAGGAGGCTGCCGCAGTCAAGCAGGCATGGCTGATGGAGGGGGAACTAGGACGGCAGTAAGGATGGGGAGAAGCAAATGGACTCAATATTTAAGGGGTATATCTGAGAGGAATTGGAAATTGTGAGTGAAGGAGAGAGGAAAGGATGAAAGCTAGGTTCCAAGTTGGATAACTGGGTGAGCTTTGGTAATGTACTGAGGAGACCACAGCCTGTAGGGCCTGCACAGCACAGCACAGCACAGCACAGCACAGCCTGCACAGCACAGCACAG